CATCTTCAGCTCCACACAAACCTTATTGCCAGAGATACTTATTGTCTACCTTAACAACTACCTTAACAACTACCTTAGTCTACCAGTAACAACTTGCAATCTACTAACCTGATTACTTTCTCCACAGATATGCTTAACGTTACATTTCATTATAGTGTACAATTGATTTACTAGTTCCTGTTTACTGTTGGGCGATATTTCTTCGCCGAAGCTTGGTTCAACACAACGTAAGCTGTCAGTAGCCTTTAAAGAAATAAAAATGAACATCGTCTTTACAGTCTCCTTACGATCCTCATTGGGGAGAGGAACCTTTACCTTCATTGTTATCGTCTTGGAGCTCTCATGATGAGCTACTCAAATCGTATTAAGACTAAACCTTGCAGTATACCTGGAGAGGGTTCTGGGGGGTCAACGCCTCCGCGGCCCGGTCTGTGACCAGGCCTCATGGTGGATCAGAGCCTTATCAACCAGGCTGCTACTGTTGGCCGCACGCAACTCGACGTACGAACCACAGCCCGATTGGTCAGGTACTGACTTTAGGTGCTTGTCCAGCCCCTTATGTATGCTGGGAAGCATTTGAACAGTCCTGGGCCCCTGACACTTATTGTGTTGTCTCTTATCGTACTAGTGGCACACCTGCTTTTCATTGGGGGAATGTTGCATCGTCTGCCGAGTCTTTTGCTTTTTTAGGAAGTGATTTTCGTGTGTAAGTTTGATACTAATTCCTCTAAGATTTTCCATGTGTATATAATCATATATCTCTCCCGCCTGCGTTCTAGGGAGTACAGGTTGAGGAACTTTAAGCGCTCCCAGTAATTGAGATGTTTTATCTCCGTTATGCGCGCCGTGAAGGTTCTCTGTACATTTTTTAGGTCAGCAATTTCACCTGCCTTGAAAGGTGCTGTTAGTGTGCAGCAATATTACAGATTAGATAGAACAAGCGACCTGAAGAGTGTCATCATAGACTTGGCATCCCTAGTTTTGATGCGATAGATACAATGTTGTGATCTTTGAAAGTGAGATCCTCTGACATAATAATAATAATAATAATAATAATAATAATAATAATAATAATAATAATAATAATAATTTTTGTTTTGACATGATACATAGTTGTACAAAAGAATGCAATAGTTGGGTGTACATGCCAAAACCCCCTTTGTATGCAGAGCATACATTAGTTTTTCTCTCTATTGTGTGGTTGGAATTTGTTTTATACTCCAATATAGTATTAATTTCCTCACGTTTTCCATATCGAAGTAATTGAAATTTCTCATCATTGAACTTCATATTGCTTTCTGCGGCCCGTTTAAAGATTTGGAGTCTTGCAGTGTCTTCAATGGAAGACACTGTCACACAAATTCGGGTGTCATCTGCAAATGAAGACACGGCGCTGTGGCTGACATCCTTGTCTATGTCAGATATGAGGATGAGGAACAGGATGGGAGCGAGTACTGTGCCTTGTGGCACAGAACTTTTCACAGTAGCTGCCTCAGACTTTACTCTGTTTACTACTACTTTTTGTGTTCTGTTAAGAAATTATAGATCCATCTGTCAACTTTTCCTGTTATTCTTTTATCACGCATTTTGTGGGCTATTACACCATGGTCACACTTGTCAAAGGCCTTTGCAAAATCTGTGTATACTACATCTGCATTTTTTGTCTTCTAGAGCATCCAGGACCTTGTCATAGTGGCCCAGTAGTTGGGACAGGCAGGAGCGACCTGCTCTAAATCTATCCTGCCCTGGGTTGTGTAACTGATGGGTATCTAGATGAGTGGCGATTTTGCTTCTTAGAACCCTTTCAAAGATTTAACGATATGGATATTAGCGCTTCCGTCTGTAGTTCTTTGCTATTGCTTTACTGCCACCTTCGTGAAGTGGGGCTACATATCTGTCGTTTTTAACAACTGTGGGACGACCTCTGCGTCCATGCTCCCTCTCCATAGGATGTGAAAAGCACTTGATAGGGGTTCCTTGCAGTTCTTGAAGAACACGGAGTTCCATGAGTTTCGGCCTGGGGCAGAGTGAATGGGCATGTCATTAATCGCCTTTTCGAAGTCATTTGGCGTCAGGGTAATATCAGATAGGCTTGAGTCTACCAAATTCTGTGGAACTGTGAACGACTCCTCAAAACTTGCACTGCCGTTACGGACGGTTTGCGAGTGAAGTTTAACACTATTCTGACGCTCCAGGACGCCTTCATTGTCGTGCGCAACGATGATGTTGAGGCTGAAAAGCTACTCACCTCCGCCGCCACCACCACTCTCACTGACCGAGGCTTTACTGTCATGTCCTCTCCGGCTTTAAGGGTCGAGAGGACTGTCTTCCTCAAGAAAATGGGCCAATTTCATGCTTCACAACCCACTGATGACCCCAAGACCTCCATTGAAGATCAGAACTCCTGGGCTACAGTGGGGGGCATTATCAAAATCCCTATTGCTTCATCCATGTTAAAAATCACTTTTACTAATGAGACCATGGCTGTCCATGCTGTGGCTGAGGGTCTGGCCATCTATTATTACTTCATAAGCCCCAGTTATAATGAAGCAGAAAGGTACCACCATATCCCACACTGCTGGAATTGCTATTCTTGTGTGCACAGTACTAAGGACTGCTCCATTAAAGACAGGAAGTTCTACACGACATGTGGTTGTGAGGGCCACGATTTCAAGACATGCTCCGCTACTACTCCGCCAACACCAACTTGCCTGAATTGCAAGAACAATCACCACACTCTTGCTGCAAAATGTCCTACACGGCTTGAAATATTGAAAAAAAAAATCAAGAAGTAGCACAGAAGAAATCCTCTTCCAGATCTCCCACTTACGCTGCTATCGCCAAATTACAGGCTGATACCACTAAACGTCTCCAGGCTACTCAACCCTCCACCACCACCTTCATACCTGATTGTGACCCAACCAAAATTTACTACTGTATGGTGTGTGCAGAATATAGCTCTCCCTGGAACCTTCAACACCACCATTAATGAACTCTTCAGGTTGAGCAACATGCCAGAGTTTACTTTTCCTACTTCCCCACCTTCTTCAGCCATACTCAAGACCACCTCAAATACTGTCAGTGTTTCCACACCAGTAAGCTCCTCTACCACCACCACCACCTTCATGTGACGAGACTCCTCCGAATCCCACTGAGAGGCCACCATAGACTTCTTCCACCACTACTGCAATGGACCAATCAGCCAGCACCATCGATGACTCGCACTCTATATCTTCTTAGGAAGAGGAGGAAGATGTCGATGACTCCTGCACCAGTTTACCTACTTGGGACAACCTGACTTTCTACACATCTTCGAATGAGGACACCATGACCTGCACAGAACTGTACAAAGGGGTCTGTGCTGGGTCTGTTAAATTTCCTTGTGAGACTCCACACCATTTCACTCTTGCCCAAGTTCTGGAGTTCATCAAACCACTCCGTTTTACTTTTGGTAATAAAACAAAACTGTACCACCTCTCCAGAACCATTTCCAAGAAATTTGAGAACGGCTCTTCCTCAAATTCTCCACGCTAAATAACACCTACAACCGAGATGCGTCTGTTGTCCCAACCTGCCTCCTCTCCTGCGACCAAGCCTGCTGCAAGCTACCCAAAAATCAAGACTTCCACCAACTAAGAACGATGCATTCTCGTCCTCAGACTACTCCTGCTTCTCCAGTCCGCTCCACGAGCGCCCCCCTCAAGGGAGGTTCCTTGACGCTGGTGAGGGGCTCTTGATCTAGGGAATTGGATCTGTGCTCCGGGTTCCCTGAATTGAGTCTGAATACCTTCCATCCCCCCCCACATGCGCTGTATAACCCTACGGGTTTAGTGCTCCCCATAATTATAATAATAATCCACGAGCGCCTAGCTGCTAGGTTAAGCCCTGTCATTATTTCTCCTAAAGGAAACGTTTCGCCACGAGTGGCTTCTTCAGTCCTCCTTCAGTTCTCCTACTCATAACCCTCCTCTCACCAGTTACCCTTCCACTATCCCCACTTTCGCGCTCACCTCATAAGGGTCTTACCTAAACTTTCATGCCTTGGTTCCTCTGGCTGTCATGACCCATATCCCCAGCAACAACAAACCGCAGATTCTGTATAAAAGTAAGAGATAAGATTTCGTTCGGATTTTTAACCTCGGAGGGTTAGCCACCCAGGATAACCCAAGAAAGTCAGTGCGTCATCGAGGACTGTCTAACTTATTTCCATTGGGGTCCTTAATCTTGTCCCCCAGGATGCGACCCACACCAGTCGACTAACACCCAGGTACCTATTTGCTGCTAGGTGAGCAGGACAACAGGTGTAAGGAAACGTGTCGAAATGTTTCCACCCGCCGGGAATCGAACCCGGGCCCTTCGTGTGTGAAGCGGGAGCTTTAGCCACCAGGCCACCGGGCCGGGTAAGAGTTCTCAGACTTCTACACCAGCCTTCATCGAGTGTAGGCGTCTTGCTCTTGCCTGAATATTAGTCACAAATTTTCCCCATTCTCTCTGGGACACTTGTCCTCATCTTTGCCCGCCGGGCACATTGTAGGAGGGGCACCTGTCATCGACTCAATTATAGCCAGCTCCAGTTTTCCGTTCTATGATATTTCTTTAATGGTTTTGGTGGGAAGCCGGTTACTGAACTCCATTGTGGGCGTTCCGCTCTGTTGGAGCTACAGGGCTGTATGACTCTTGTGGGTTTAGCGCTTAATGTTGATTATAATAATAATCTGCTGGAGCTTGGCGAGTCCACTTTAGCTCCTCTTTCTAATAATAATAATAATAATAATAATAATAATAATAATTGGCGAGTCCACATGGTCTATTTAGAAACTTCTAGTTTCCGTTTCTATTCACGAAGGGACTACCAATGGAAATTAGTCACTTTGATTTTTTGGGTTATCCTAGGTAATCTACACATATGCTGCTATATGTAATAATCTATGTAACTGTATTCATGTATACCTGTGTAAACTTACTTCCTGATCTTTCATGGCCTGAGTCTGGTCATCACCGTCCACCGGGAAGTAGGACTCGATACTTCATAAGCTGTCACTGGCCCTTATAAGCCCAACAAGGAGACTGAGAAGAAAGATCTGTTACTTTATATATGTAACATGGATGGTTCGGTAGAAGATGCAATATTAGCAAGTTTGGCAGAGTTAGCTAGTGAAGGAAGCAGAGGCTGCTGCATCAGAGGTTGCAGGAACTCCACGTACAGGACTGATGCTGTGTACTTCACCCTGCCAGAGGATCCTCATAGGTAAGGAACCTAATAGAAATAAGTCAGCATGACTCACGAAATCGTAATGACACGACTGCAATCGTGTCATTACGATTTCGTAAGTCATGTTGACGGCATTGAGGGGACTTGAGCTAGAGTTCGTCACGGCCACGCTAGTTGGAGATTCGTCTGTAAAAACTTGCATTTGTGGTCACAGAGGTGCCTGTGCTAACTTTCCTATGGTGTAGAAATATACCTAGTTGGACGAATCTTATTGTGGCTAGCTGGTCTAGTGGCTAACGCGACGGTCTGGAGTTTTGAGACTCTGACCGCGGGTTCTATCCCCGCCCGTGGTATGGTTTAGAAATAAGTCAGTTTTGGGGTTATCCTAGGTATTTATACATATACTGCTATGTATGATAATTTATGTAACGGTATTTATGTGTAGCTGTACCTGAATAAACTACCGGGTATTGTGTACTGTGTTCCATTATTTTGATTACATAGTAAATTTGGTGAGGTATTTTAGGGTCTGAAGTTTGTTTGAGTAAAGGTATACATTCCAGTGATGGTAGATGAGTTTCTGACAGTGTTTGTCTTAAACTGTTTACAGTACTATTTTGAAGTAATCAAAGTGAACTTGGCTCCAGGTTTATAAGATAAGATTTACGGATTTTTAACCACAGGAGGGTTAGCTACCCAGGGTAACCCAAGAAAATCAGTGCGTCATCGAAGGACTGTCTGTCTTATTTCCACTGGTCCTCAGTCTTGGCTCCAGGATTCAACCCAAACTAGTCGACTAACACCCAAGTACCTACTTGCTTGCTAGATGAATGGGAGAACAGATGTAAGGAAACACACCCAATGTTTCCACACTTGCCAGGAATCAAACCACAGACACTCAGCGTGTGAAGTGAGAGCATTGCCTACCAGGCCAGGTTATAATTTTAGACACTCCATATTCAATTAAGAGCATCAGTCACTTACTGCCCTCTCTTTTAATTTCTTTCATTCTTCTGCCATGTTTTTTTTCATTAATATGTGCCCTTTTTTGTAAACATTTGCTAATAATTTCTTTATTATTTATTTTAGTTATCTCACTATCCCTGTGACAGCAAAAGACATGGCAGGAGATGCACCATTCCCCCATGAAAACCAGGGGTGTCATGATTACACTGAGAGACAACACAGTAAGTGTCAGGGGCCCAAGACTGTTCAACTGCCTCCCAGCATACATAAGGGGGATTACCAATAGACCCCTGGCTGTCTTCAAGTAGGCACTGGACAGGCATCAAAAGTCAGTACCTTACCAACTGGGCTGTGGTTCATACATCAGTTTGCATGCAGCCAGCAGTAACAGCCTGGTTGAGCAGACGCTGATCCACCATGAGGCCTGGTCTCAGACTGGGCTGCAGGGACGTTGACCCCCGAAACCCTCTCCAGGTATACTTCAGGTATAATCCTCTGACTCAATTATCTGTTTGGGATTTAAATTTATTACATATAGAATGCCTTCTTATGTAAACAATCTGAAAGTTTTATTTAGTACTATGCACACTTCCTCTTCCATTTCATTGATTTTTTTGTTTTTTGTCATTTTTAATTTAGGAAAAGGAAGACAATGGCTTGTTGAGGTTCTCCTAGACATGCACTTGACCATCATTAACGATGTTATCCAAAAGCCTCGGCTAACACTCAGATTGCATGAGGTATTACATTGCATTCTGAGATTGGTTCCTGATGCATGAATTGCCTTCAAATTCATGATCTGCTGCCATATCTACTGGATGATCAGTTTGTATTACAACAAACCCAAAACTACACAAACTGACTAATGTCATATCTTTGCTTAGGGGTGACAGGGGCCAGGAAAACATCCTTGTTTTTCCCGTTGAAATGTGTTCCACACCAGTGAATTTTAAATCCATTGTAGTGGAGTGTCGTACTTAAAATATTGGTGAAAGATTGCAAATCTAAATTAAAGCTTTTGCTATTCATTACCACAATATATTAAATTAAAACAAATTTCTGTAAAATATTTGGCTTGTGATGTATACTACTGTATACAGTATTTCACTTTGCCAGAATAATAAATATTGTTTCCTGGGTACAAGGCAATTATAATGTGTGTCTATTAAACTTGTATATACATTATGTATTCAGTTACATAAAACTTTACAGGTGTGCTGTTTGGCTGAAAATCTTGAGCAAATTTGTATCTGAAACTGATGAGAAATCTAAGATATGGATATGCTCAGATCACTTTTGTTCAAGAGATATCTCTCTTATCAATTCTCAGCCAGAACTCACACCTTCAGCAATTCCAAACATCCAAGTATATGCAAAATCTGGTAAGTATGCTTTGTTCTGAAAACTATTGTGACATTGCTTATACAGTATTACACTTTCATTATTTTTACTGTCTTTATTGTACACGTGCTGTATATCTGTTATAGTTTACAGAGCTCTTTTCCCACAGTATGTATATATATTACCAGCTGTAAGTCTGCCTGGACTGTAACTCTAAGGATATTCTATATTTTGTTCCCAAAAACCAAGTTTTTAAGAATTTACTCCCTAAGGCTGAGTTTACTTTTTATGGAAATTTGTATTAATTCATTGTTATTAAAATCCATTAATTTTTGTACTGGAATTTGAAATGGAAAGTGTAATTAAAAGATGCCTGCCAATTTTTCTTTGATAAAATAACTTATATGAAATTACAGATGGAGCAATGCCAAAACTTTCAGTGATACCCAATTTCAGGCCAGTACCAATACCAATGCTTTCTCTATATTTTATGTTTTTAAACCTATGAAAGCTGTGTTCAGTATGTACAGGGAAGGCTTGTTGTCCAATAGGTATTAAATAATACAGAGAGGTTAAATATAAAATAACTTAATTTCTCTGAGATGCCAATATTATTAGTCATTACCAATTACAGGCACGCTTAAAAGGCTTACAAATTGAAAAAAGAAAACATTAAATATTTTAATCTATTTTTTTTTTTTTTTTTTTTTTTTCAACAAGTCGGCCGTCTCCCACCGAGGCAGGGTGACCCAAAAAAAAAAGAAAGAAAATCCCCAAAAAGAAAATACTTTCATCATCATTCAACACTTTCACCACACTCACACATTATCACTGCTTTTGCAGAGATGCTCAGAATATAACAGTTTAGAAGCATATATGTATAGAGATACATATATTTATTAATCTGATGAAGGCATAATCAAAAATAATTTATGAAAATCAGTGTCTGAATAATTTCCAGGTACATATATTAAACAAACTAAAACATCCAAGACTCATTGTTGAGCTAAAGCTTGAAACAAATTTTGAATACTGAAAAATGCACATCTTTTAAAATACTGTACAGTAAATTCTTAATTTACTGGATTAATAGGGAAACAGGTGGCTGGTAATGGTGATTGGTTTGCTGTGATCATAAAAATAATAGGCAATTCTGTAACCAATAGACTTTGTGCATTATTTACAAATCAGTTGACCCAACATTTTATTCCCGTATTTCCAAAATTTTGTAGGTAGTAGATTGGCAGACAGCAACTGCCCAGGAAGGTACTACCGTCCTGCCAAGTGAGTGTAAAACGATATCCAGTAATTGTTTTACATGATGGTAGGATTGCTGGTGTCTTTTTTCTGTCTCTTAAACATGCAAGATTTCAGGTACGTCTTGCTACTTCTACTTACACTTAGGTCACGCTACACATACATGCACAAGCATATATATACACACCCTTCTGGGTTTTCTTCTATTTTCTTTCTAGTTCTTGTTCTTGTTTATTTCCTCTTATCTCCATGGGGAAGTGGAACAGAATTCTTCCTCCATAAGCCATGCTTGTTGTAAGAGGCGACTAAAATGCTGGGAGCAAGGGGCTAGTAACCCCTTCTCCTGTATAAATTACTAAATTTTAAAAGAGAAACTTTTGTTTTTCTTTTCGGGCCACCCTGCCTTGGTGGGATACGGCCGGTTTGTTGAAAAAAAAAAATTGGTTATATTGAAGGTTTACTTTTATTAACCTGGTGGCTGCCACTATTATTTACTAATCTGATATTGCCTGAATCTTCTGGAACATACCCTTCACAAATAACAAAGTTTTACTGTATTCAAATTAAAATTTTTATTTTGTTTCATGCAGTACTACACAGATAATGTAGTTTACATGTAATATACATGTAGCATTGTTTGGCACAAAAGAAAGCTACTACACAGTAAGTATGAATTACCTCCAATAAATGTATTACTTCATTTATCCATTTATTTCATGAAACAGGTAATAATCATACCATTAAAAATATTTTCTGTGTATTCAAGGTTTTGAAAGTAAGGACAGTAGATTGAGCTGGGGAGATGACCAGTTAAGTTTCACATCACAAGCAGCATCATTGCCCAAGATGAACGTGGAAACTCAGAATGCACCAAAACCACTTGAGGATTGTGTTCAACTGCTGCCGGAATCTAGTAAAGATCATTTTAGTGAGTCTGGGAAATTTTGTATTAGAAAATTAAGAGTAAAGGTGCTTGTGCATGCGATAATTCCTTCAGTGTTTCCATTTGGAAATATAACTGTATTTAAAATACAGTGGACCCCCGGTTATCATAATTAATCCATTCCCAAGAGAGTGACTAAACCCGAATCTGACGATTTCCGAATTCATTTTCCCCATAAGAAATGATGTACATAAATCCAATTAATCCGTTCCAGACACTCAAAAGTATTAAAAAAAAAATTTTTTACATGAAATATACATTTACCTACACAGAAAACAATGAGACATGCAGAATAAAACAATAATAAAATGACACTTACCTTTATTGAAGACTTGTTGATGTGTGGCATACAGGAGAAGGGGAGAGGATGGAGGAGTTAATATTGTTTGGAAGGGGAATCCCCTTCCATAAAGACTTCAGGTACCAAGTCCTTTTCTGGGGTTACTTCCCTTCTTTGTTTTTTAATGCCACTAGGACCAGCTTGAGAGTCACTGGACCCCTGTCACTCAAAAAGGTGTTCCAGAGAGGTTTGTTTCTGGCATATGTTAAGAATTGTGGCGGCGGCAGGGGAGTGTTGGGAAACAGGACACGATAGTCCTTCAATATGACACTAATATTAATTCTACAGCTTATTTATCTAGCACAATTCATCTAATATAACATACTAAACAATATTAATAACATAGAAACATGATACATACTCTAGAATGAATAAAATATGTCATGTGTCTCTCTCCTTAACTGACAAGTGTTGTATTGTTTGTTTTTGGGTGTTTAAGGGCCACTGAAAAATAAGCCTTCTATAATGGTGGTGAAGGCAGCAGCAAGAGGTGGTGGTGTTATCCAGTATCCCTATATAACTCTAACAACATTGGAGGAGTCAGTTTCGTGCTGTTCTTTTTCTGTCGATTAATTGCTTAACTTACTTGCTACAGGCTATAAAGAGCTGAGCTGTATAACCCTTGTGGTTTAGCGCTTCTTTTTGATTATAATAATATAAAGGGCTGAGAGAGAGGGGAGAATGTGCCTTCTTCAATGATTCTGTGATATGTACAATACTAAAGCAGCAGCAGTCGATAAAGGCTATAGTGCTGGCTGGCGCTATAGCCTTTATCGACTGCTGCTGCTTTAGTATTGTACATATCGCAGAATCACTGAAGAAGGCACATTCTCCCCTCTCTCTCAGCCCTTTACCAAAGGGCTGGCTGGCACTAGGAACTTTCTTGGGGCCCATGGTGGCTTATTTAGTAGTTGCAAGCACCAAAAAAATGGAATAATACGAAATGTATGAACACGTGGGATCGTGCTAACTGGCTGATAAACAATGGCACATTGAGTATTGGGCCGCTGTTACTGTGTGGATGTGTTTGGGATGAATTACTATTGCCGAACTTAATGACGATCACCAAGCCAATATTTTGACGAAAAAACATTACTATTTCTGAATGTTATGAAATCTGACAACTACAAAGTCCGGGGGTCCACTGTATCAGAAAGTAAAAGGACAACACTGGCAGAAGCAGAGGGTTGCATTATTGCATATATACTGCAGTACACTGCCAGGATAACATAACAGAACATCTTTATGAACATAGCATAATGATAGTGTTCTTAACATTTCTTTTGAATGTATTATAGTATGGTACAGCTGTCCATTGTAGGTAGTAGACTGGTAGACAGCATCCACCCAGGGAGGTACTACCGTCCTGCCAAATGCATGTGAAACGGAAACCTGTAATTATTTGACACTGGTAAAATTGCTGGTGTCTTTTCCTGATCTCATAAACACGCTAGATAACAGGTACATCTTGCTATGTCCTCTTGCATTAAGGTCACACTACACATTTATGAACATGTATATGTATACATGTCTATCAGAGTTCTCTTCTATTTTCCTAATAGTTCTTGTTTCTATTTATTTCCTTTCATCCCCATGGGAAGTGGAAAAGAATATTCCCAACGTAAGCCATGCATGTTGTAAAAGGCAACTAAAATGCTGGGAGCAAGGGAATAGTAACCCCCTGCTCCTGTATAAATTACTGTAACTAGAAAAAACTTTCATTTTCTTTTTAGGTCACCTTGCCTTGGTGGGAGATGGCTGGTGCATTGCAAAAAAAAAAAAGTCCATTGCTTTATGCATTAGATGCATACCAGATCCTTGACAAGTGTATTAAACTCAATCAGGCCATCATTACATTTACAAAAAGATACACAAACCACATATGGGAGACTGAAACTTATGACCATGTTTTGGTTTGACTTGAAGACCATTAACTAGTTAATATTGTAAGTCACACTGAAACATTATCATAAGTTTCAGTCTCCTGTGTGCGGGTTATTTGTGTATTGTTCTAGCCATGATATTGTGCCTATTTATTGTTTATGAAAGAATTTAAGGAAACTGGTTAGTCTAGACTTGAATCCAAACTGCAACAGTGCTTGCACTATTGCAGTTTGGAAAGTCATCTGAGCTGTGGTGCCAGCACTGGCAAGACAGTGATTGAATGAATGACAGTGAATGTATTTCCTCCCCCTTTTTTTTTGGAGGGGGGGGGGTCACCCAACCTCAGTGGAAATAGGCCGATTTGTTAAAAAAATCTTCAAAATGTTTTGTGAATTTCACTTATCATACTTATATATATTGTGTAACAGTTAGTTTTATCTCATAGACCACTCTGGATTTTGAACCTCCTCCTTTAAATTGAGACCTAGCTGTAGACATGGATCAGAGAAATATTTTTTTCACTATTAACCACTAATTTGAAGAGGAAACTTCAGATGCCATTCAAGTTTGTTCTGGATCATTATCAAGTCACAACTGAGAGACAATAGGAAGGAGCAGAAGGCAAGGCAAGTGAAGGAGTACTTTAATCAGTAGGATGGAATCCCTACAGTGTTTATTTTAGACTGCGTTTTTAAACCGGAATTTTTTGTAATTTTGTGTAAACTGGCCAAATTACAAACTTCTGTGCACATTATAGGGTAGTTCTGATAGTTGAGTGGGCAGTTTCTTGTGCTCAAGTAATAGAACAGAAGGATGCTCTTGAAATAGCTAAGAATTGGGTCAGATTGATCATTGGAATTGGCTTAAAAAAAATTGGGCATAATCGCCAATGTTTAAATTGCGCCAAGGCTGCCAACTTTCGACCTGCTTAATTCCATTATTGTGCCATTAAATACAAAATTTTTGGTGTCACTACCTTCAGAAAAAGATTCTCTACTATTTCAGATAGTAAATTATTATTATTTTTAAACTGCAACACTTTCAATTTCAGGGGTTGCAACAGTGACAGGGTTAAAGACTTTTGAGGATGCACCTGAAATATATGGTATGCTAAAAACATGGCTCACTTTGTTTGAGTCAATTTAGCAGTGGCATTACTAATTACTAACAGTTGAGAAAAATGTGCTATATTATGCCAAAGAAAAGAACTATAAGATATTAAAAAGTACATCTATCCCTGTCACTTTTGAAAACAATATGAATAATTTTTCATAAATTAACATATTGGCCATTTCCTGCCGAAGTAGAGTGACGGAATAAAAGAGGAAACTCGTTCATTATTCATTCAGTCACTGTTTTGCCAGAAGTGAGATTACATCATAGGTCAGATGTTCGCTCTAAACTACAACATCCCTGCCCCTCTTTTATAATATTCTTAATTGGTCTTTTCTGTTATACAGGCTCAGATGTTAAGAGAGAAAACATGATAACAATTAAGGAGGAGCCACTGCCTGAGGTAAAAGCCACTTACAACACCTTTGGGGATTCACAGGTAACGTGCGAGACAAAAGAAGTTGTATTCAAGAGAAAACGGGGTCGTCCAAGAAAAGGAGCTTCTGTTCCTCAAACAATGAAGCCTCAGACAATCACAATAAATGATTCCCAGAAATCGAGTTCTGGCCCTCATGTTGGAAAATCAACCTGTAATACAATCACAAAATCACTGGCATATGACAGCACTGAGGACCCAGGAGATGCAGAGACTGACACTGAAAGTAAATCAAAGAGGAAAAGAAGATCAAAAGTTTTAAATGATTATGTATCAGATTTTAACACTTCTGATGAGGAGGATGTAAATTTAATAAATGATTTTTCTAAGTTTACACACCAAGGTAGAGGCAGGGGTAGAGGCAGAAAAAGTGAACCCTCAGAGACATATGATGACCTTTTTAGTAACTATGTTGGAGTTTTTGGAAAGAAATTTTCATTACCGGTGAATGAAGATTTTCTAGATGATGATATACTTGAAGAAGTGAATGACATTGAAGGAAGCATTTACTCATCTTCCATATTTAATAAATCCAGTTCAATCAATGAATCCAAGCCAATACATGAGTTTGAAGATAAGGTAGAGGTGATGCTTGGTCCAGGTGGTAGGACCAAAATACAAATTGTGTATACGGGTAAGAACTCAATAGTGAATGATGAAGAAAGCCTCATCTATCATGTGATCACAACCACAGGCAAGACTACAAGTGTTACACCTCTCACAATCCCTAAGCTAACTAATGATGCAGAGTGTGAGAGTGACAACATCAACTATCCATCTACATCACAAGCAAAGTGTGAGGCAAGTGATGAAGGCAAAGCTGACACTGATTTAGAGGTGGATGGCAGCAAGCCCAGACTATCATCACGAGGAAGAAGGATCAAAAGCAAGCACATGATGAGGTAAGATTTTGTAGCCAGCTTCTGTGTTGTATTACTATTATTATTATTATTACCAGTAGACCCTCAAGATAATTATTTTTTTATTAACACAGCCATTTCCCACTGAGGCAGAGTGATCCAAAAAAGAAGAAACACTTTCATCATTACTCACACTATCACTGTCTTGCCACAGGTGTGCCTATACTACAGTTAAAAAACTGCAACATATCTCCACCCCTCCTTCATAGTGCAATCACTGTACTTCTCACCCCCAGGACTCGAGTCTGACTAAATGGTTTCCCAGAATCCCTTCATAAATATTACTTTGCTCACACTCCAACAGCACGTCAAGTCATAAAAACCATTTGCGTCCACTTGCTCTTATCTAACACGCTCATGCACTCTTGCACACAAAAACTTCATTTACTCCCTCCCTCCAACCTTTCCTAGGATGACCCCTACTCCGCCTTCCTTCCACTACAGATTTATATGAAGTATTGGTATCCGATAATGTTGACGGTACTGGTATCGGCCTAAAATTGAGTACCATAAACCCTCGATATAATGGGATATCAGTCCCATTATACCTTGGTGGGAGATGGCCAGTGTGTTAAAAGCTTATTGAAAAAATTGAGAAATTGAATGATAAGGATTCAAGCAAAATCTTTAATGGATTAAGATAATATACAGGTGTGCTTAAAACTCATGATACACAGTATGTATGAACATTGTACAATGGACCCTTGGTTTTTGTAGATCTTAGTTATCGCTGATTTCGGTTTTGGCCAACTTTTTTTCGTCAATTTTTGGCTTTAGTTTTTGTCAATTACCTCCATTTTCGTCGATCATACAGAACCTGTCCAGTCCCCAGCGTGCAGATAAAGCCACCTCCGCACGCATTCTCAGCCAGTGTAGCGTTGTTTCTGGGTCATTGAACATATCCTCCCAGGTCATGTGAAGCATTTCGTAATAATCCTTTGTTTTTGCCACTTGTTTATCATGTGTGACTGCTAAATAAGCAACCATGGCCCCCAAAGAAAGCTCCTAGTGCTAGTGCTTTGACCCTAAGAGAGTTCTCGAAGAATCACTTCAATATCTTCCGCTGCATAGGCCTTATAGATAAGGCTTGGCAGGGAGTGACTTCCAGGACGATGAACTCTGCTTGGAGAAAATTGTGGCCAGATTGTGTCCAAAAGGAAATTGCTTCACAGGAGGAGGAAGAAGAGATGGAAGAAGGTGCCTTCTTCAAAGATTAAGGAGATTTGTGCAATGTGAACTAAAGCGCATTCATTTGTGGAGGAACATCACCCTGAGAAAGCTGTCGCAATCTGTGCTGGTGACTTTTACAATGACAAGAAACAGACCTATCTGGACAGATATTTTGTGTGACAGGGATCCAGTGACTCCCAAGCTGGTCGTAGTGACAGTAAAAAACAAAGGAGGGAAGTGACCCCAGATAAGGACTTGGTACCTCGAGTCCTTATGGGGGGGAATTCCCCTTCCAAACAATAACCTATCCTCCCTCTCCCATCCTCCCTGCCTTCCTTCCAGCAACAACAGCCTTCGATAAAGGTAAGTGTCATGTTTAACCCTTTGACTGTTTCCGACGTATAAATACGTCTACGAGCCAATGTTTCTGACGTATTTATACGCACAAATTCTAGCAGCTTCAAATCAAGCGGGAAAGGCCTGGTAGGCCTACATGAGAGAGAATGGGTCTCAGTGGTTGGTGTGCACCCTGTGAAAAAAATCTGGACCCAGCGGTGCATTGTGGGAACGCCATGTTGTTAGTCCATTTTCACCATGCCTCTCGGTAAGAAGTTCCTCACTCCTCGGCGGATTGGAGGTCTTTTGTTCCCAAGTGATAGCTCTAACAGCGATGAAAATGTCAGTGACAGTGAATTCCAGGGTTTTGAAGTGAGTGTTACCGGAAAAAGTGCCCAGGATAACGTAATTAGTGATGACCCACAACCTTCCACCTCTGGTGCTGGGCCGGCTTGTTCACGTTCGCGTTCGCCTGTACCAGGACAATAGAGGAAACTATTTGGTCGTGTACAACACCCAGATGTTAGCAGTGATAGTGATAGTGATTTCAAGGTCATTGAAAGCAGTTCTAGTGACAGTGAGAGTGAATATTCCCCAGTGAAGCGGCAGTATGTACGATGTAGCATGTGGTCTGGTAGTGTTTCATATGTTGTTCCAAGGGGAAGGAGAAACTCTGGGAGCACATCCCGTGGCCCTACACCACGACCTGATAGTGAAGATGACGATATTGTAACGATGGGTATGAATGATGTGAGTGATGGAGCAGGCAGTGGTGGTGATAGTGAGGGTGGCACGGCCCATATGGTACCATCAGCGGGCCACGCTACTACCCACACTGCTGACTCTGCACAACAACCAGCCTCACCCTACCCCACACTCCCACAACCTGCACCACCACAACCTGCACCACCACAACCTGCACAACCACAACCTGCACAACCACAACCATGGTACAATATCCAGACCCCACCAGCAGACCGCATCTGGGATTGGCAGGACGGTGACGAGTTTATTCCCAGTCCCCATGACTTTGATGAAACACAAAGTGGAATAAAGCCATCTTATCCACTTGGGAACAATGCCAGTGAACTGGACTGCTTTGAGTTATTCTTCGATGAACCCCTGATGGACATCATTGTCAGGGAAACAAACACATACTGTGATTACACCATGGCAAATACAATTCTCTCACCAAAATCACGGCTACACAAGTGGAAGGAGACAACTGTGGCAGAGATGTACCTGTTTTTTGCCACAATAATGCTTATGCCACATGTGTATAAGCACACTGTCACCACATACTGGGCAACAGAACGCCTGATTTCAACTCCAGGTTTTAGTGACATTATAGGTGTCAATCGTTTCCTGATACTGTTACGTATGTTACACTTTTCAGACAAAACCAGGCCTGACAGAAGCGACAGGTTATATAAGATCAGAAATGTGTTTATGCACCTGAAACAAAAATGCTGCATGTATTTTTATCCCTTCAGGAAGCTTGTTATTGATGAGTTCTTGATTTTATTCAAAGGAAGACTCTCATTCAAGCAATATATACCAAGCAAGAGGAAATGCTTTGGTATAAAGCTATTTGTACTGTGTGATTGCAGAAGTGGTCTAGTTTTGGATATCATTGTGTACACTGGCAGTAATACTTTGAGAGATACCATGAAGTTATTGGGTATCTCTGGTGATGTGGTTTGAACAATGATGGAACCATATCTTGGTAAGGGGCATATGTTATTTACTGATAACTGGTACACAAGCCCCTTACTCAGTGATTTCTTGCGAGTGAACTTGACAGACGTGTGTGGCACAGTGCGTCGTAATCGTAAACATATGCCAAGGTTCGACGCTGGCACTCGCAGAGGTGAGGTGCAAGCCTTTGCTGCCAATGACATCATGGCATTTCGGTGGCATGACAAACGTGATGTCACATTGTTGACATCAGTTCACAGAAACGAAATGGTACCCAGTGGCAGGGACAATAGAGAGACCAATGAACCCATTCTAAAGCCTGCAGCTGTCATGGACTACAACCTCAATATGCGCTTAGTGGACAAATGTGACATGCAGATTGGGTTTGCAGACTGTGTACGCAAGAGTTATAAGTGGTATATAAAACTTTTTTTCCATCTTGTTGATATCTCTATGCTAAATGCTTATAACACATACAAGTTGAAGACCAACAAAACACCAAAATATGGTGAATTTTGCCTGTCAGTAATCAGACAAATAATTGCAAAGTACCAAGGAGCAACTCCTGCAATAGACCAGCGCCCACACACGTCATCTCGTTTCAGGCCTGGTGATCACTACCCCATACAACTGCCTCCTACTGCTGCCAAGAAAAATGCTCAGAAGAGGTGTTATGTATGTATGCATACCACAAAACGCCCACAAACACGCAGACACTCGTTTTATGTGTGAGGAGTGTGAAGTGCCCCTCTGCATATACCCATGTTTCAAAGAGTTCCACAAGCTGCAGCAGTTCTAGGAACATGTTTAGTGACTGTACATATGTATATATATTATGGAACAATAGTAATAAACATTGTTTTGTATTGTTTGTTTGTGTAAACAAAGTGTATACACAAACTAATAGTGATAAAGTTTGTTCTGTTATTGTGTTGTAAACAGTGAGTGTATATTTGAAGAATGCACCTTACATTGGTCTCACAGGCCACATAAGTTACCTGGAACAGAAAAATATTGAAAAATGCAAGAAACCTTTGAATTAGAGTAAATAAAAGAATACCGGGTGGGCGGCAGTCGCCGCTGTTGCCATACGCACGTCACTTTCTGCAAACTTTGCGGCTCTATATCTCGGTAAGTACTGATGGCAAAAAAATTTTTTTAAGCTTAAAACATTCACAAAAATATTCCTAACATTTTCATAAGAAATTTTTTTTTTTTTTTTTTTTTGATATTTGGCGACATAGAATGACAGTTTCAGAGAGGGGCCTGAAACAGTCAAAGGGTTAATGTTCATTCTTTTGTGTTTGTAAATGTATATTTAAGGTAAAAAATTTTTTTTTGTTGATACTTCTGGGTGTCCGGAACGGATTAATTCCATTTACATTATTTCTTATGGGGAAAATGGTTTCGGGTTTGGCTGATTTTGGTTTTGGCCAGTGGCTCTGGAACGGATTAAACATGAAAACCAAGGGTCCACTGTACTGTACTTTTTTTTCCAGGACTTACAACCAGCAAGTGGCATCCCTGCAACAGAAGTATTATCGTGCACTACAGGAAATAAGAAAAAGACCAAGAGTATATACTCTGGCAGATCTTGTGTATGGTGCCTCAAGATTTCTGACAGAAGATCAGCTGATATTCTTCACACTACAGCTCAAGTCCAGCTGTAATAACACACAAGGCATCAGGTCAGTTTGGTTACAGTTTTTCAAAATTTGTTTACATATCTTATGATTAATTGCAAATTTGTATAGTATGTAAATAAAAATTCTCCATGGGGAAGTGGAACAGAATTCTTCCTCCATAAGCCATGCGTGTCGAAAGAGTCGACTAAAATGCCGGGAGCAAGGGGCTAGTAACCCCTTCCCCTGTATATATTACTAAATGTAAACTAAATGAAACTTTCGTTTTTCTTTTGGGGCCACCCCACCTCGGTGGGATATGGCCAGTGCATTGAAAGAAAGAAAGTAAATAAAAATATAATTAAAATATTAAAATTAGTATGCAAGTGTTGCAACCCCTGAATGCTTGCAATGATTATTATGTATATATATAATTATTACCTTTTCATATAATTTTATATTGCTTATATTTGTGATAATAGCTAAATCGTAAATGTATTGCTTTATATTGTTATTTGACTTATGTTGTTAGGATGTAACATATTATGTGCTCAGTTCAAGTCTTGATTGTCAAACTACTGTAATTATCGCTTGTTGCTCGTTATACTGCCGGCTTCTGCTTCTTGATGGGCGACTGCTGCCCACGGAGTTATCACGTGATCGAGGGGGGGGTGTCCTCACCTCGTCTGAAGTATTCAGTCTGCTCTAGACTCTCTTGGTGGTTGGACAGATTGTCTGTCTCATTATTCTTGTCAGTTCTGTAGAACTCTGTTCACAGAACATTGTATAGACTTAGTGATTTTCGACGTTGTACTGAGGTTGTGTGTCGCTTAGACACTCCGAGCATCTCAGGTCCTGAGCTGTTGCTTCTGACTTAATTTGAACTGGTTTCTGTGTATGATCACAGTCGGGTATTTTCTTATGCTGAACTTAGATTCAGTATTATGGGAGTTTTGTGACTTTTGTGGAGGATCTGCTGATGGTCCCTACTAGCTGTCGTTATATTATCTCCTTGTTCCTGATTCTGTGTCGCAGTTGCTTGTTATATTGTTGTTCGGCTTATCAGTCGTTTTGTTGTTCAAGCAGACTGTTCTGGTTGCCAGTCGGTCAGGAAGTTAGTTTATTTAAGGACTTTGTCAGTCACTTGTTTAAGTCTAGTCGAGTCGTGAGACATAACGAACTACTTAGAGCACTTACACGCATACACAAACTTGTACATATTTGTAATATCTTATTAAATGTTAATGTACCAGACGGTACTTAAGAATTATAAATGTGATATGTGCTTTCAGCACAATAATATTGAACTCGAGAGAATTGATATTACAGTGGACCCCCGGTTAACGAACTTTTTTCATTCCAGTAGTATGTTCAGGTGCCAGTACTGACCGAATTTTTTCCCATAAGGAATATTGTGAAGTAGATTAGTCCATTTCAGACCCCCAAACATACACGTACAAACGCACTTACATAAATACACTTACATAATTGGTCGCATTTGGAGGTGATCGTTAAGCGGGGGTCCACTGTATTTTGATTACTGTGATTAATTTAATTTAATTTGATAATGTACCTCTAGACTTAATAAATTTATTAAATTTTAATTTCTCTAGTTAGTAGCTTACCAGTTGTAATCCTGAAGCACTATTAATTCATATTGAATTCTAGTGGATAATTGGACAAGGATACTGACTACTTGTTACGAAAACCCAGTAACAGGCTGGATGCTAGAAGGGCAGTCCTTTCTAGTATTCACTGGAGATCTCTAAGCTTTTAGAATCGCATTTTTTTGTACAACATGGGGGCCTGTTCGGGATGCTCTTGATCCAAGGTGTTGGAGACAATTGTCCAGTTGACCATTACTAGTACCTCTATGGTCAAAACAACTTTGAGTACTTTCTAATCTGAGACTTGAGTTTAGGTCTTGTACAACATACCAGGTGGATGTATGTACCTGGACTGAGTCTCTTGATCCAAGGAGATGGAAAATACTGTTTTTGTGTTCTAACTCTAAGACGACCAACACTAAAATTCCTTTCAGGATGTAGTTTCCAATAATCACTCTCTCGTTAGTACAATTATTTTCGTTATGTATGCCAAAGTGAAAACAGTTAAGGATACTCTGACTTTGTTTGAGTTTTAAGTACATTAAAATTCAGAGGTGTTTGCGATAGCCAAATATCTTCGGTGTTTGTTGAGTTTATAACAGGAATTACACCGCTGAAATGTCAGAGGCAATTAATTAAAGAGATGTTGTTTCCTGCTCATACAGAAATGTTGATTATGATTCAGTATTCAGAAAGCCTAGTGTCACATTAGGAAGTATGACTCTAATTTGAGAGAAGAAAGAGCACTAAGGCAGGAAGTGAGACTAGCGTTGAACCCTAGTGTAGCTCCAGTTCTCGCTCACGCCTTCCCTCCTAACAGGTAGCTTGACGCCGCACCACCTAGTACAGTGTAGTACACCTTGTAGCGACATATCCTAGACCAGATCTAGACTCTCTAGAGAAGGCTGGACAAAGTGTCCGACTAAGGAACGTCCTGACAACGTTAATTTCCTACTCCTCCATTAGCTTACTGGTCCTATCTCCCAGGAACAGTTTGAGAGGTTTGAAAGCCTCATTATGTTGCAGAATGCGCAAATAGAGGCACATAGCGTAAACATTTTAGAAGACGATGTCTAGAGAGAAAATGTTGTCTGGGAAAGACAACAAGACTGATAGATACACAGGACCCATTTAATGTGCAGGAATGCTGCATCAATGGTTCTCTAAGTTTTTTTAACGGGACTTCTTAGACACCTATTTTGATGTGTTTGAGAACCAGCACTGCTATGAACTGGCCCGGTAAGCACTGGGCTACTGTTGCAATACAGCGTTGACAGGAAGAGTCAAACTTGTACCGCTGCTTTACATTTACTAAGTACATTTAGTTATGACGCTGTCATGGCAAACTATTCTTGAGACATATACTTGTTACCTGTAAGTTATCAAGAGCTTTTCGTACATTACAACGACGACAGATCAGACTTGTGTAGAATTTGCTCGTGAGGAAAAAAGTTGCTTTTGAGAGATGGTCTAGAGCGGCCAAGTGTAACAACTACGACAGCTAGTTCAGTTGTTTTCCACGGAGAGTTTAACAACCGTAATGTTGCTGACATACAAGATATCTGATCGATTCATTCTACTGGATATTCTGGACACTGCAGCATTAGCCAGACAATTACGAGATTTCTCACAAACTTGTACGTACTAATAAACACAAGAAACAAGGTAACTAAAAATTGTCCTAGAAGTTGGCAACCTAAATCAACTGTCATGTGGCCTGATGTTACTGCTACGGTAACTTCTGTACCTTTCCAGGAAAAATCACAATCCTGAATCTGTCTCTGTGGACCTAGACAGAAATCTGATATCGAGAAGAGAAAGTTCAATGTACATATTGTACAGAAATAAAGGAACCATGCAGCGTAGTGCGATAAGTTAGAAAAAGAGATAGAGAAGCAGTCGTGCGGCTGGCGCCCCCACGCAAGTCGTATCCTTCTTCCGAGCAACAACGGCACAATAATCCTAGTTTATTCTCTGATCCTACTGTTTTAGATATTTTACTCAGAACAGATGGACTAGCATCAGAAAGTGTATCTGATGAAAAGAATTCGTTCAGCAAGAGTCCTTACTTTTGAGAGGTTAAAGTAGGATTATTTAACGACTCACATTAACTGAAATAATTAATTTCAGAGTCATGGCAGGTTTACTCTCACGTTATTAAGAGAAGATGTTCTGCCCGTTAAATGACGTTACCTATTGCAGATTAGATGTATTGTTAGAAGCCTATGGTGGGGCACTGGTATAAAAGTACCTCTTAACAAAGTTTATATTCGAACAAGCTCATTATACTGGTTAATTCAGTGGGTATATCCAGTGGTGTATTTCCCATCAGGTCAGTGGGACTTGTTGATAGGGAACGATATCTTCATTGCTGGTTCATGTAAAGAACCACTTGTGATGACTAAATAACCACTGATGATAATTATGCCATGAAGCTTGTTAGAGAGAAAACCTATTTTATTTCCTCTCAGTGCAATTACTAGAGCTTGTCAATATTTCAAAAACCTTCTGGATATATATCCTGTTTTGAGTTAGTGGATGACCATGATTTGGGGTTTTGAATATGTTGTTTAGTGGACGCTCTGCGCCCATGGATCATTAACACTGACTCCCCCGGTCCACAGCCTCGTCAGGATCACACCTGATGTTAAATTTCAAAACCCATGATGATTTTAATCAGGATCTGTTTGTTGATCAGTCACTGGAAAGACTGAGTGACTATAGCAGTTACTGAGAGTGAAGCAAAAGGATCTGATAATTGTTACTATTATAGAATGGTGCATGTAGTTGTCAGCTGATAAGTTTACACCACAGGTCATAGCATCTGTAGTGTTACCAGATTACATTTCGTGAAACAAGCCATTGATTTGCTCACAATAGTCCCATAGGAGGGACATTTGGGTGTCAAGACGCAAACTCGGTAAACTGGCAAACATATTACTTGGCCAAAGATGAAGAGAAACAGTTGCTGGCATGTGCGACGTTGTCCACGGGTGTCAAGTGCCAGGCAAGCCAGCGCACACACCGCCACCTCACCTTCTCACTGAGTTCAGTGTATTCAAAGTTCAGTTCTGTCTAGACTAGACATTGTTCAGCTTTGTTCAAACGGTTTGAAGCGCTGCTAACCTCTGCTTCTGTGTTGAAAAGTCCTAATTTCATTCGTCCATTCTTTTTAATATAGATGCGAGTGGCTATGCAGTGGTGGATGAACTGTGCTACTCCAACAGACAACATCCATGCATTCTCCATTCTATATGTTTATATATCTACTTAAACGACACCAGAAAAAATTATGCCACTATGAGAGAAAGAGGCTCTACGCTTCTTGTGGTGGTTCCTGGGAACATTTTGTCGAGTTTTTGGGCATTCCCCATTTAAAATTGACGTAATTTATGCCCAATATCTTTTGTTACGTGCTATGTCAAATTCAGTAAGTAACGTAATCCCTCCATGCCCATA